AGTGACGGCTTCGGCGCCTGGCAGGGGCTCAGATGTGACCAGGGCATGGAGTCTAGACGAGTTGGCGAGAGTCTCAAGCTGTGTGTAGTCACGATGTGTGCACTGCCTGTATCCAGTATCGAGTGCCGCCAAGAGAAAAGCGCAGAGGCTATTGAAGTTGCCATGTGCAGCTAGTCTCAGCTCTTAGTCTCAAAAGGGAGAACGTCAGAGCTTGAAGAGCATAAGCTTAAGGTCCACAGCGAATCGCGTCTTGTTCTTGTCGTTACCCCTGTTGGCAGGCAAAGGGGGCGATCCCTTACTTAGACATCTGATCCCGGCCGGGGCATCTCGGAAATTTCCAGGGGTCACCGCCAGCTTTCTCAGCCACCTCATCAGGGGATGGCTCTTCCTCGGTACCGTAGTCATGATGTCCTTGTTCAGCGCCACGAGAGACCTAATCGTCCACTCCCCCTGACAGGAGGTGCGAGTGATGCCCAAGCGCCGGGCTGGTCTCTGGGGTGGATACTAACCACATATGGAGCGAGCAGAGCACTCAGCTCGCCACTTGCGATATGCTCATCTCGGCAATCCGACGGGCTCTTCCTATTGTGCCTCTGGTGCCTTTTTTTCCCACACCACGCGCGCGCGTCGTCCGAGCGATGACGGTCTGGAGCTCGATATACCGCTGGCCCGGGTGCAGTCAATAGTGCTCCGACGTTGACCTGTCAGAGGTGCCCTGGTGGGAGGAAGATAGCCAGTTTCTGAAGCATCTGATTTGTCGAGTTGCTGCTGCCGCCGGCGTCCACCACATGTTGAAGATGGGGTTGTCGAACGCGCCTCGGAAGATCAGATGATGATGTGTTGGATATTGAAGTTATGTCTCACAAGAACACGGCCCATGGCAGGCGGCAGTGACGAGGAACCTGTACAGCATGTGGCAGGACTGCCATGGCATGAGTTGCACACGAAAAGAAATGGCGTCCGACATCAGTGAGCCCATGTTTGATTCACAGCACAAAGCGAACGGGGCAGGGATCCATGGGGCTGAGTGTGTTTTTGAAGTCTCCCAACACGCGAGCAGGCGTTTCGCGGCTCAGCTCTTCCGTGTGCAGGGATCGAACCCATCATGCCTGATCTGGTTGAGGGGATCAGACGTCGCCGTACATGGGCGGCTTCATGCGTTGCTTCAGCTGTCAGCGGTGTGCTGTGCGCCGCTCTCGCAGTGTTTCCTGATGCCGAGAGATGGATCGGGAGAATCTGGTTGCCAGGTAGGGTTTCCTCTTCCCAAGGTACCTGACCTCTCTAGAGGCAGGCAATGCAGGCAGGTGTAGGTAGGTAGGTCAGGTCAAGGCGATCCCGGTAATAGGATCTTCGCATCCGAGGTGTGGCATGTGCTCGCTTGCAGTGCCAACGTAGCACCAACTCGCACGCAATCTTGGGAGGCGCTGTGAAGCCACTGACCGAAGCATTGGGAAGAGCAAGGCACCCATGAAGGCGTGTCTGTGTGAGGGATGGATTGATGAGTGAATGTGGGTGGATAGGTGGATGGATGGACGGGACGGGATGGCCTGGCTGCCACATGAGCCTGGGAAGGGACAAGGGTGCCCCAATTTCCACCCACGGGGTTGAGCGGGTTCACGACCGTCAGCCTCATCGGTTGGGCCCGCCGCCACAGGAGAGATTCAGAGGTTCTTAGGTCCAGGCCCAAATCCAGACCCAGGCACTAACCGACAAAAAGCTCGCTCAGCACCAAAAAAAAAAAGTCATGCGGGATCCAGGGGCATCTGCCCCGCTGCAGGCACTGGAGACACAGAATCAGGCAAGGGGAAGAGAGGACGGACACGAGATTGTCCAGTCTTTGCTGTCGACGAGAGTCAGTCCCATGCGGACTCGCACAATTGTTAGACGAGGTCAGGCGCGGAATCTGTCAGGTGAAATAGGTATCAGCATGGTCTTTGCTGCTCGCTCACTGATGAGGCCGTGGAACACGACAGCAAGGGAACCGGCCTCATTTGCGCTTCGCAGCTCGTCAAGATAGATCCCTTGCCTTGAACTTCAGGCGGGCTAGTGGGAAAGTTTTGGCAGATCTCCGCTAGAAGTCGGACTATCATCGCGTGGAGTTAGGCTGACAGGCCATTGGAGACCCGTTCTGCTGGCGAGCTTCTCAGCAAACCCTCGTTGGCAGGCAGTTCAGGATCGTCCATGAACTCCAAGTACCTCGATAGGGTTCAACAAAACCCAATGACTGGGTGGCCCAGCTTGTCATTTGGACATTCTCAAAATCCCATCTTTTATATCTCATGCAAGTTCGCGACCCCCTTGGTCTAAAGCAAAAAGCCTCACTAGGCTGGCGGTGAACCAATTGGCTGTGCTGATTGTTAGCTGCCGCGGCAGGTCCACGAAAAATTCTTCACATCAAGCACTTCAGTCAAACTAAACGCTCAACCACATCCATTCAGAGACGGAAGCCTTGCTCCAAATCAGAAAGCCTTGTCTCGTAGGTTATGGACAGCAGAGCATCTTGAAACACAAACAGGAAGAGCTATTCTCCTTCGATGTCCTGCCAATGGCTGTACTCACATGTACCACGGTCTCAAGTGCCACCCAAAATATTATCCAGCATAATGTTGTGGTGTTCCGACTTTTTCTTTCTTGTGTAGAGCTCGGTCGTGAAGCTCCTCATGTCGCGAATCCCGTGCTGTCTATTCGAAGCTTCAACGACCCGGAGTATACTCCGCCTCAGACGTTGAAATCCCTGTGCATCCTCAGTCAGCATCTTCACGTGCCCTGCTGTGTAACATGCTCACAGCACTTCTAGGCGTACAGCACACGTCCCCTCACTACCTACCTAAGGAGCAGGCCCAATCAGAACAACGGCAGCTCGCTATGTGGAGGCTGTGACGCAGCGTTGACGGCCGCCCGGTTAGGGGATGTCATTACCCCGTGTATCCTCGGCTTTGAGCCGATGCTTTCCACGCTCCCAGCGATTGAAGCTCCAATTGTCGACGAGGTCCGAACTGCCATCCTCCTCCTCGGCAATTCAACCATCACCGCCAGCAGCAACCGATCGGAGGACTCTGTCCAAGCACAAACCCAATTCGACTGCCGCCGAGCAAAGAAAATCAGTCCAAACACCGTTGTAGACAACAACCACAATGAACTCTCTCCGCTACGTCCGCCCAGTGGCCTCGAGGCTGCAGCCATCGACGCTGCCGCGCATGGCCGCCCGCGGCTTCGCCAGCGCCAACTACGAGTACATCCAGGTGTCGCAGCCCAAGCCCGGCGTCGGACAAGGTGCGTAGGGGAGGGAGGGAGGGAGGCAAGAAAGGCGGCGAGTCTTCTTCACAAATCATGTTCCATCGCTGACGCAAAACTTCGCTACCGGCAGTGACCCTCAACCGCCCCAAGGCGCTCAACGCGCTCTGCACGCCCCTCATCAACGAGCTCAACGCAGCGCTGCGGGCCTTCAACGAGTCGGACGACAACGTCGGTCATTGTGCTGACGGGGCTCGCAAAAGGCCTTTTGCCGGCGGGCGGCCGATATCAAAGGAGAATGGCGCCCGCTGACGTTCTCCGAGGCTTAACACCAAGGCCTTTAATCGAGTCCGGGGTCCGCTGCTGGACGACCGAGGCCAAGAAAGCCCCATCATCGCGGCCGTGTCGGGCCACGCGCTGGGCGGCGGGGTGCGAGCTCGCCATGAATGTGCGACGTGCTCTACTGCACCGAGGGGGCCCAACTTTGGCCAGCCCCGAGGTCAAGCTCGGCACGATCCCCCGGCGCCCGGCGGCAGCCAGCGGCTGACGCGGGCCATTGGCAAGTCCAAGGCCATGGAGCTCATCCTCACGGGCAAGTCGTTCAGTGGCGTCGAGGCGGCGCAGTGGGGGCTCGCCGCGCGCGCGTTCCCGACGTACGAGGCCCTCATGGAGGAGACGCTCAAGACGGCCGAGACGGTGGCGGGGTACTCGCGCGTCGCCGTCCAGGCGTGCAAGGAGGTCGTCAACAAGAGCCAGGACCTCGGGCTGCGGGACGGCGTCGAGTTTGAGAGGCGCGTCTTCCACAGCCTGTTTGGCAGCAACGACCAGAAGATTGGCATGAAGGCGTTCGCCGAGAAGAAGAAGGCCGAGTGGACGCACTCGTAGCTGGGGCAGAGAGCAGCAAGAAAACGATGGTTGTCTGCTACTGCGATGAATCACGATAGAGCACAATACAGATGCAGGCAGTCACCTAGTCCTCGGATGTCTGGGATATATGGGCAGCCAGGACAATTTGATCGATACTTGAGCAGCGAGACAGACAGTGCGGAAGTGTAAGATAGTTAGTTGATGCGCATTGGTGCCTCGAGGCTGGAGGTGTGCATCTGGTTTCGCAGATTACCTAAGGTACCTTAAAGGTAGGTAGGTACTTACCCACCCTTAGGTACTTAGGTAAGGTACCTGAGTACCTAGAGCCTCTCCACTCAACCCAGAGGCCAGTGCGGCGACCACTGGTTCACAGATCCAAGCTTAATCTCTGCAGACATGCGAGCAGCTCAACTTGACATGCCATCAAGATGCTTCAAGATGAAATGCGAGTATCCAGCAAGAAACTGCCCATAGGACGAACACGAGGAGATGCATGAGGATGATGCAGGCGCGCCCAAGCGAGGCCCTCCTTCCTGCGCCTAGCCTCTTGAGCCCCGCCACCAGCGCCGGCGCCAGCGCCTGACGCCAGCAAGAGCTCAAGCACAAGCGCAAGGAGCACCTGCCCCGCCTTCCCTTCCACTGCCCCACCGCCTGCCGCCTTGCCGCCTGCATCCCCACCATCTGCAGTCCCGTCTTCTTTGATGAAAAATGGTTCGCCAACCTGCTTTGCTTCTCCAGCCCGAGGAAATCCCTAATACCCATTCCCACGTTCTTTTCCTCGCAAGCTCCCCCCCCCCCGGTCGGCCGGGGTTTCTGTTTGGTCCCCGCC